AAACTTTACCACTATTCACATTTTCTTCTGCTCTGCAACCAAAGTGTCTGTGTAACAGGTATAAAGAGGAACTTTCAGAGCATATTTTATGTGTTCGTCGTGGCCGCTAATCGTATTAATTACGCGTCGAAAAGCGCTACTTGCAGACCGTCGCATCGTGAAGCTTTCGCAAAAAAATAAAAAAATAAAAAATAAAAACGTCTAATTGTAAATGAAAAAAGTTAACGCTTGAAATATTGGAATGTGCGCAGAGAACTCCATCGACTCTAATTGGATCGTCCTTCTTGCCCGGTTGCCAAGAATTACACGTTAAAATCCTGTAGCAAAGTGCGCATGTTGATATACTTTCTGCCCGACGTGCAAATATAGACGAGTTGGCTTCTCTTTGCGTTTATTTGCAAGATGCAAAGCTCCAGGATGACACACAGAAAGGGACGACTAATTAAGCAAAGCGACTCAAAGAGTAGCGAGATAGAAAGAGAATCTTTGTGCGGGGTATCATCAAAAACAAGTACTAAATATAAGCGCGTCAGCTTACAAGTTTCTTCGCGTGTATTTATATTTCTTGCCATCCATTTATTTTATTCATCTCACATCAATTAATAACGCGTAATTAATTAAAATTATAATTATTCGATTTTATTAACGTTCGAAATTCAGTTTCGTATTTTTATGAAAAATTAAAATGATACTCTTCACAAAGAAAATTCGTTTTCACCCTTCCTTGCTATCTTGTACATATTATTCTCCAAGACACAGAACTTTCAATCTCCAAACAAAAAGTTAGCTATAACAAATTCCGTTACCCGAATCAATTACGTACTCTAACTTAGCAGCGATACTTTCTGGAGCGAGGAAATTAATGATGCATCCCGACGGTCGGAATTATCCAACGAAGGAAAACGACCGTGAGTCACGTGACGTACTCCTTCATTTTACGGGAGATCGTGAACCACGATGAAAAAAAGATGAACCACGATATCCGGCTGTAATATCCCCAAGTAGAATGGCGCTTTTATATCCCGTCATCATCGTACATCGTTTTCCGGACAGATTTCAGACTAGGTTTCGTTGCTACAAGCGATGTTGCATACGAGGACGTATGCGAGGACAACAAGCATTCAGCCGCTTGACAGAGCTATTCTTTCGTTCATCGTGCACAAAATGAACATCCGCCTCGTCACTTTGTCGCACATGACGCATCGCGTGAAACAATAGTTATTTCCGCATGCCCAAATAAGTGACATAAATTTCGTGTCACTTTATCAATGCTGCACAACAATTATTTCCTTTGCTAAACTCGCTGACATTATTTAAGATTTATTTATAGCGTAAGATTGTCAAAATCGCACTATCTCGCCTAAAAATTCAATTATTATATTGTACTTACACACTTTCTTAGATTATTTGAGAATTACATGGTACTTAATGCTGCTATGTTACATTCGTGACATGAAACATAATAGAATTATTATTTAATCACATCATATAAGAAAGAAAAAAGATTTATAGTTTTGGTATAAAGATTATAGTTTATTAAAAAACTTAATATTTTCATAAACCTTTATGAGAAAAAATGCGATTTCGGCAACTTTATCCTACAATATATTTTGAATCTTTCATGCATTATTACTTTTCTTACACACATACCTATATCATTATAATATTATATTTATATTATTTTTGCACTCGTTATTATTTAATAATTACATTACTTGTTATCACGATTGTGTGTATTACAGGATTCTATGCGCGACTATATCATAATTGTGATGAATATTATATCCTTATTAATATAACTCCTCTTCGAATGATTAAATAAACGCTTTTCACTAATTGTTCGTATAATAAAAATGTTAAAATAAGTGGAAATGATCATTGAATCAATTTTTAATTAAAGTTCAATTTGTCTCTCCCATGTTTCATCTTACTTAATATGACTCTACACGTTGCAACCCGGATAATATCGATGCAATTATACTAGTCTACTCTCATTATTGGAAGAAGATACGCGTAAACGCATATTAGAAAACGCGCTGCGTTGAGCGAATATACTGTATTGAGCGGACGTGTTGCAATGGAACGTGATGGAATATAAGCGGTAATGTAGACGTGGTGGTTTAGAAAAAATGTTGTTTTTAGTTAGTTTTGGTTAATATATCATATCCAGCCATCGTGCTAACATACAAAATGTATGCTTGCAAAGCATCAATCAATTGTATCAATCATATCGCAACAAAATCTTTATTAGGTAATACAGATGACTATAATATAGACATTAAAAACGATTAAAACTCATTTACAATGCAATCAGAAAAGAGTCGACTATATTTTATTATTTATTTTCAAACACATAGAAAATGTATGAACTCTATTTGATGAATAATATAATTTCATACATGTAATCTCCGAATTCTCTTGATTGATTAATTAATTATTTAAGTTTATAATTAACTCACATAATTTAAATTAAATTTAAAAAAAAGGATTCTACAAAAAAAATTTTATAGAATAGCACAAACAGAAAAAAAACAGAGAGTTCAAAAAGAATTCAGTCGTATGTAATTAATTCTGAGTTCCTTTTCGGATGTAAAAAGAATCCTTTTGTTGGAAAGGAAAAGTCCTAAAAAGAATTCTTTTTGCATCTGAAAATGAACTCAGAATTTATGACATACGACTGAATTCTTTTTGAATTTTTTAAACCCGTTATTTGAATATTGATGAATACACTACGTAATAGACATAATACACTACATAAGCTATTCTTCACAGAGTCAATTACGCGATTCACTGAATCATAAAACCTTGTATTAAAAATTCAAATATTTATGCTGGAGCATGTTCAAATTTCCACCCAAGTGCTCCCTAGAAATCATTTTATCTTTGTTTAATATATGGTGAACAACAAAAATAAAATGATACCTGGGTGGTACTCGGGTGAGAATTTGAATATAAACTAGGGTGATATAGTTGTGTCTTTCTCGCGTCAGCGCGTACACAAAAGATATCGCTCGTAAAACTTATGATATATTGTACGTGTATGCTCGTGAAAAGTCAGATTTAAAATTTTTACCGTCCAGCTTCCGACAATTTTTCGAGATTCAGCAAGCGTACTTACTCGAGTTTCTGCGAGCAACGTGCACTATTTTAATAATAGTTTCTGTCAACTTAGTTACACGCCACATGGACAGACATGCTGTTCTCGTGTTCCATTTATGTTTTATTTGGTGAATTTTATTTATCAAATCTCAGAAAAAACGTTAACAGACCGGCCATTATTTTCGAACGACAATAAAATCAAGGAATCGATGTAATATTCCATATATAATCAAATAATTATTGTGCTTCAAATTAATTGAATTATACAAAAATCGAATTTTGAATTAAACTTTGAACAAGCACTCGATATTTAAGAAAAAGACTGTTTTTTTAATTAAAAAAGAAAGTAATTGTAAACAAATACCTTTTAGACATTAATTCAACAATTTTATTATTATAATTCGATAACAAATATGCTTTTCTGGAGAAATTAATTATTTAACTTTAACTTTAATTATTTTCGTAGAAATATATACAAAGTATACAGGACATAAACAATGTATATTTAGTTTCGTTGATTTTATTTAAGAGATGCAATATATTATTGTCCAATCTGCTTTCACTCTAGATTTAAGCGTGAATCTCGCGTGACTCATTCCAAGATATATATTCAATTGTCACGGAAAATTGCCTGAGGAAAAAGTCGGAAGAAGAAAGTCCATAATCTGTCTTAAAGAGTACACAAACCGCGTGTTATCGCGACGCGGCGATAAATTCAGTTTACGAACCCGAGAGTGTTTGCGTCAAAGCCTTCATCGCGACGAAAAGAAAACTAGAAACGAGTTTCGCGACCAGGCTACGCGACTTTGCCGCGAGGTAATCCAAAGCCAGGCGCGATAAGTCAGTGGGTTAAATCCCTTCCCGCGATGTGGAAGTGAGGAGGAAGGGTTGAGAGCTCGGTCGTCCATTTCACTCGAGGACGTTTCCTCGGGTGTTCGAGGCCACTACGATAATCAACATTGGAAACCGCGTAGTACGTAATTTTGGTTCATAATATTGTTCTCTTTTCTACCGGTGGTGGAAAGGTGGCATTTTTACGAACTGGCTGGGAAGATTATCCATACAACAGAACAAAACGCAAAACCTTTGTAAAAAAAAAAGGAACGTAAATATCGGACATTACTAAATCCGTAAATGGTATACGAGTATTTTGTGATGCAATTGCAGCATAATAACTATTAGGTGTTGGAATTAATTCGTAGCGTTTTACAAGTGATGGGAAGTACTTTCATTAATGTATTTTTTAATGCTCATGTGAAATAAATAACATTCTTTCATTAAAAAACGCTACGAATTAATTCCAACACCTAATATAATAAGACTTTAATGTGCGAACTGTATATTGGTTCTAAGAATGTTTCAGACTCATAATTTGTGTTTGAAAAAACACGAAAAAAAATTTGTTGAAGCATCTAAAAATTTTATTAGATATAGATATCTGAAAATAATTTCGTTAGACTATTGAAATAATTATGTAGGACGCTCAAACTGATTGATAGCATGTCAAAAATTGTTTGCAACATTGCTCATCATCTGAGATTTCTACGTAATTATTTTCATAGTTTCAATAAAATTATTTTCAGATCTGCATGGCTAAATTTTTAAATACTTCAACAAAATCGTTCTTTCCGTGAAGCTGTGGCTCATTTTACGAGTATCATATATTTTCAGTTCTATGTAGGAACTGCATGAAATCTACTTATTTAATCTCAAGATAGATACAAATAATATTTGAAAGGATATTTGCATTAGAAGTTATGTGCGTAATTTTAACTTACGTTTAGCGTTTAGAAATCTAAAGATATTTGTCATTTTTAAAAATTTTATCACTAAACAGTAGATAAGAAAATACATTAAACAATTATCACAGGACACAACACTGAAATAACACCAAAACTCACCAAGAACTCGCCACTGCCAAGGCTCTGCTGAGATCCATCCGGTGTGACGGCAAGATCCGCAACGATCGACGTGGAGAAGCTCCTGCGTGCTTGATGGTGGCATTTGTGTGGGCCAAGATTCCGTTGCGTAGCATAACCGGAGACTACTGCGCTCTCGTTCAGCTTGGACGTCCAAATTTCCTGCTCGTGTTGTGGCGATTGACTGATGGTGCGATGTTTGGTAAACCTGGAGATACGCTCGGTCTTCACCCAGTCGTGATTTGGACGAGGCTGCCGCGTGATTGTCTGCAGCGATTTCATGGCATTGAAGCGCGAGAAACCATCTTCCATCGCGGCTGCCCAGAGATGATCCGGTAAATCTCTGGAACCACACTGCGTTTCCACGGATTGACGATCCGAGGATGAACCCAAACCGGAAGTGGTCGGTGTGGTCGGATAGAATCTCCGATAGGATGTGTCCTTCGAATCCTCGATATCCGTGGAGTAGAAATCGCCGTCGCGTGACTCCAACGAGCGATTGTTCTCGTGTAAGTTCAGGGACGATCCGATGCCAGTCGAGGTGGTCGAGGTACGGCAGAATCGCCGCTCGTTCGCTGACGTCCATATTTCATCCGTAATAGAGGAACCGATTCCCGTGGAGGTCGTAGGCGTTCTGTGCGAGCGAGCCTTTCTATAGCCGCTATTGTATTGATACAGTAAGATGTTGGACAGGGGGAAGGAGAATTTTTGTATTTTCAAGAATCCAGTAACGTGTGATTTTGTTTTAATTGTTATTTGAGGGAAACAACAAATGTAATGAAATTTTAGAAGTTAAATGATAATTTTCTTTTGAAGAGAGTTTAATTAGATTTGAATTTATATAGAAAGTTAAACTTTTTTGTCAGATTAAAAGAATTGATCGTAAATGAAATTAATGCAAAGATGCATAGTAAGCATGTATAATAGGTATATTTAGATCATTTTCATGGCATCTAAAAAATATGATGACAAATTGCAATATTGTTTCCTAAATTTTTTTTCGATAAGTAATTAATAATTAGATTTTAATAAAAATTGAAAAATAATAAAAACCATTTGCACATCAAAGTTTTTTTTAGTTCTACTTGTAATATACCTCAACTTTCGTCAAGTTTTTTCAAAACTAAAAGTCTCTTAATATTGAGACAAATTGAATATAAAAATAAAGAATTCATAACCAATTTGAAAAAGTACTTTTGATATAAATATATTAACAGCAACAAAATAGAGTCAAGTTGTTTCTTCTGAATATATTAAAAAATCAGTAAAAGTTTTAAACCTTCATTAATTAATTTTATAAATATATACCTATGAGGGAAGTTTCTCTCTCTCCAGAGTTCGTCGGGGTTCGCGGGAGATGTGTGGCTCGTAGAAGAAGACGCGGCGAGAGTGGTATGTTGATTCGCATAGGAACATCTCTGCGGAAACCCCATCCCCTCGTCCAGACCGGCTGCCCAGAGCGACTCGAGGGGTAGATCCTGGGCGCCCACGGGGGTATCACTGGCGCCCTTGCCGCTTCCCACTCCCGTTCCGTGTTTCCCCCCGTTCCCAACGGAGGGGAACACTCTCTCGGCACCTTGAAGGACGCAGCACATAGTCGTGCCGCCTCCCTCGCTGCCCCCGACGCCACCACCCTCCTCCTCCGCCTCCGACCCCCTAGAACCGACGCTTTGCAGGCAACCTATCGTGACCGAGCTTTTGACCTGGTGCCAGGCCTCGACCCCTTTTTTTAGGAAGGGGTGACGACCCTCCCGGTGGTCGGTTCCTCTCGTTTCTTCTCCTCCGGTAGGCCTTGCAGGCCCGACCAGCTCTTCAAGGCCAGTCCTTCATCCCTCTCGCCTTTTTATGCGTTCGAAAAAACTTCTTTGGCTGCTAATCGCTGGAAATGATCAATGAACGGTGACGATCGACGTAATGCTCCAGCGTTCGTCTTCTTATGTGTCTTCTTTTGGTAGGAACAATTTGTTGAGTAGATTTGAGTACACTGAAAGTTAGTTTCGCTGTTGTAGTTCGCAAACAAAATTAATTTAATGCCATCGTTGCGGACTTTTTGTAAGATTGATGAAGAGATACAAAAAGAAAAGATTTACTGAGAATTATGTAACGAAATATTCATAGATATTACATGATTCTAAATCTCTTTCGGTAGTGTAGAATTTCGTATAAACATGATACATTGTCGATATTTCCCCTCTAATTTTCCCTTATCTGGTTTAGAGTTTCTGAAACATGGAAACTCATCATCAATTCCTCGTAACTACATTTGACGTACCAATCATAGATATATTTCACTTCTACGTGCCGTGTATAAATGTAACTATGTGTTCTAAAACTCACAATGTAATTGATATAGGGTAACTCCGGCAAATACGCCACGCTGGGATTTACGCCGCAGAAGTCAGAAAAAAAAGAAGGAATGAGGGTAATTTTCCCGCAACTTCTGTTACATGTCTTCATATTATATTAATATAATGTTACGATTTTAGTTTCTTACTATTAATATTAATCAAATTATTGTGAGTTGAATTAATTTGTCACTGTGTTAAGTAGCACCATCAGAAATTATAATCTACATAAAATAATTACAATAGGACGTACAAAAGATTTAATGATTATTTCGTGATACAGGAGTATAAAGGAATAGTAAAGCATGTTGTATAACAAAATACAAGTATTTTGTTTTTGTATTCTTTGTTTGTTGTCTTGTATATCTTACTTGTTTGGGATATACAGCATTTTTAGCGAGCGGGATTTATGCCCAAAGTGTACAAAATGCACAGATTGAATTCAGTGCACTAAATGCATAAACGCATTACATGAAATATGTACCTCATGTCATAACACTTATAATACATGTAGAAAGATTGTAATTATTATTTATTACTTCATGTACATATTTATCATTCTTATTCCTTAATAAAATTTTAAACGCATTTTATAAATTATTGTATCTTTTTACGTCTTATTTATATGCATTATTTGTAAATTTTTCATGAGCCGTACATACCTCCCCCCCCCCCTATGAGTAGGCATATCCTACTCTTATGGGAAAAATGCAAGGATTTAAAAAAGTTCATTTTTTAATACGAAATATAAATATTTCAGATTTCTAATATTTTTTTCATAATAGTAGGCAATACAAAATTTTTACTGATGTAATTCGTTTACTTTAAACATAGTAAATAATACTTAATAAATTAAGTTTTGGATAGATGCGGCGTATGTACTGGAGTTATTCTTTAAATATTTATTGTATTTGCAAATTTATATATAAACATTATAAAGATCAACTTCAAAAATAGAACTTTTTCTTTTACTTAAATATTTAATAATTATAATAATAATAAAATATTTAATATTTATAATAGATTTATGCTAGAATACAACAATCGCGCTTGTTTCTCTAACATCATGTATTTTTTCAATAAATTATTATCGAAAACATAATTTTTAATTTATTTATTTGTGTGTGTACAGTGTACACACCTATAGAAGTGTTTAAAAATTGAATTTAAAAACTTGCTTTAAATTTTAATTAAACTTGAAATATAAATTGTTTAGATTATAAAAATTACATTTTACTTTCTGATTTTCATTGCGGATGTATGATGTCAATAAAATGTATATCTATGTCCATAAAATTTTTATTTATAAAAAATTTAAATAATAATTTTTTCAAATCGAAAACTGCTCTGCATTTGCAGTATAATATACTTTTTTTTTAGGTGTTTTATTAATTGGCTATTTAGCTTAATAAAATATGTATATTCTGAATTGTTTCAATAAAACAAAATAGTATTCACAATCCTTTCTATATATTATATTAGTTAAACTGATGTAAATACACTGATGAGCATTGTAATACTTCTATTTCCAACAATCTATCATAACTTTATGCAGTAAATTATTACAGTAGCAAACTTTTTACAGCACAACATGGCAGATTATCGGGCAACGCAGGCAACGACGCGACACGAAGTCAAAATTCAGTACTACGTCTATTCTGCTTGTCATAGCTTGCATGCTATTTTTTTTTTTTTTCATTCATTCGTTCTGCGCAGCGTGACGTTAATTAGCTAATGAAGACTAACGAGAACGCGAAAGCCAGAGTGTGAAGTCTGGTCGATCCGAGAGACTATACACGCGGAACGATCCCGGAGGCATTCATAAAGCTTTCGATGCCGACGAAATTCGATGGAATGGCCATTATACTGCATGGGTAAATTGAAAGCCGCGTAATTCGTTATTTACCGACGCAGCTTTGTAATTGACCGAAGCACAGCAGACTCGATGATTTATTGCGATCGTCGGGACCTTTTCGCTGTGGCCGATCTGTCCCGCTCGTGTCGACTGTCCCCGACAGAGATTTACGAGCGATACGACCGTCGAAACGGCGGCAGAAACATATGATGGTGGATCCGATCCCGGATGATGTAGCTCCGCGTTAGAGAAGAAACTTTTGAGAGTTTTGAGAGTTCGCATAGAGTTGTCAAGATAACTCACAATACTCACATTGCTCAAACTTAACTAGAGCACTCGTCCTAATTTAATTTTATAAATCTCACTTCTGCTTTCAATACATTCGCTCAATCTCATAAAATGTAAATTTTTTACAAATTTTAATGCATATATAGTTCTCGATTTGACAACAGAATATTAGGTTCTAGTATATAAAAACCACTTTGGTGAACTTTTCATTCTACGTATAATGACTCAGAGTCTCTATTACATTACATATCTACTTCAATAACTTTGTAATTGGCATAAGTTTGTATCAAGTTTTTAGAGTATCTTGAAGAATCCATTATCACTGATATACTCTAGTTAATATATTTATTACATCATTTCGTACAGGTTATTAAATGTGTGTAGGACATTTGATTGTGATTTTTATCTTTTAATTTTATTTAAAATTTGTCAGTTAAAACCATCACCAAAATTGTGAGAAAATATTGAGAATGATCTAAAAAACTTAATGTCAGAACATTTACTATTACTTTTATGTTAACATTCTGATAAATTTCATTTACTTTAAAAACTTATATCGACTCTTTAATAGGCATTTTTAATATTATCAATTTATAATATCTAATTTAATTGGAGCCATCCATTTGATATTTTTAATTTTATAAGTCTCATCAATATTTCATATAAATCACAGCAATCATTGCGATGTTTCTTAAAAATTCATATAATTTTGTGTGTTAAATTATTAGATCTCTTCATCTTACTGTGATATTGCTACGTACAATAATTAATGGTAAATGAGCCAATAACGTTTCAATATTACTTCAGGAATATTACAAGAGCAGCGTGATATTTGCACGATCAAATTAGTATCTTGTTTACCTTTAAACGTGCTAGTCTAACTCGCCAAATTAGACCCGACGCGTTTTCCCGAAATTCCCGGTGCACCAGATGGAAATAAATTGGTGAATTAGAGAGTTGCATATCATGCACATTGATTGCATAAAATTTACATTAATTTCCGGCTAGGCCCGCAAATAAACAAAATAAAATATTACACAATAAATAAAATTAATTTTATCATTAAATTTTGCATGATCAAAGAATATATTTTTGTTAATTAAGAATTCCCCATTAGAAGGTCACAATTGCTTAACAAGGCTTGATGATGATAAAATTTGTGATAAAGATATAATAAAATGTACGATGAAATGTGTAACGTATGATGAAGTTCTTGATATGAATCAATGATAAAATTTCTCGCAGCTTCGATGCAACGCGTCATGACCTATTTTACTTAATCCTTCCATTCACGTACGTGTGGAATATGCGCAAAAGTCGCTCGCGATATAACTCTTTGTAAAAGAAGCTCTTCTTTAACGGATTTACTGACGGAAATTCGCGATGGATGCGGAACTTCGTCTGGGCGAAAACGTGGCTGCTGTAGCAACTTCGATGGAAATCTCTCAACGAATTTTCTTTTGCATCTCTCTTAAAATCGCGTTTCGTGGTCACAATTTTTGTATTTAAAAATATAACAAAAGATAAAAATCCCCTTTCTCTTTCTCTCAGTGAAACCACAATACTTTTCAATATCAGCAACATCTTTTCGTTGAGATATATTATAAAATTAGCTGGGTTGAACGCGCAGAATAATCTATTTTGAAATTTTAAAAGTATTCATATAAAATGTGCTCCTGGAGTTTATAACTCTTTTACTTACAAAAAGTTTTTTAATATCAGCCAGAATATATAAAACCTCATTTTTAATATTTTTCTGTGTTTTTAACTTAATTATATTATTTTAATAAATAAGTTTAGAATTAACTAAATACGTATTATTTAAGCATTTAATAAAATATGTATTAAAAAGCATGTATTATTTAATAAAATATAGCGCTTTCTTAGGAAAATAACAGAAATTAATTTTATTACAGTACAAAACATATATTTCTGTTTCATTATTTATTTAATAAAAAGCATTTATAATTAAATATAAATAAATATTTCTTTATAATTTATCATTGAAAGAATTAAGAATTTTAAATGGATAAAAAAAAGATTTCTCTACATTTTTATAGAAATACGCTTTAATTCCGTTTGCGCGTAAACGATTGCGAATTTTCAGAATTAATAAGAGAAATAATAAAAAAAAAAAAAAAATTCAAGTGCCACGCCGGCGAGAGAAATAAGGAAATAAGAACCACTAAATATTTATAGAATACTCTACTAACGCAAGACGATTCGACACGATACGCGATGTGCTTGCAAAAAGGTGGTTGCATAAATAAGCAGGCGTCTAAGAAGTCAATGTAACGCCCGACGAGGCGCAAACAAATACGCGGATGGGTTGCGACAAGAAATAACATCTTCGTCCCTTCGAGTAGTCGCGAAATGAACATGATCCATCATTACGGTGCATAATAACATGGACAGCGTGCGCTCCGGTAGAATAAACACGGAATTTAATATTACTATGCTACTGCGATACGTGCATGCAACATTAACGATATGAAA